TAACACAAAAGTAAACTCATTTTTAGAGATAAAAGAAGAGAAGAGAAAAAAAAAAGGAAAAGCGTAGAGTGACCCTAGCCTCTTTATACTACTTAAGATATATAATTTTGTGGCTAAAGATGCCTGTAGACATGATGAAAATTTTGGTTCACTGAAAGTTAGCCCTTGGGCCATCACTTTCTTCTCACCCCTTTCTTTTTGTGGCACTAAGGACAGGTAGTAATGTATTCATCATTCATTCTTTGCTTTGGCCTTTTTTGGCTATCTGATACTGATAGACTCACATAATCAATTATTATTGTCAATAAAGACTCTGCTTACTGTAAGGTAAAGTCTGCATCCTCTGCTACATTCTGCCCCCCAATAAATGTGTAGGAATTACACATGCTGGACACTATATATTAATGAACTTATTAAACTATAATCTGTCAATCTGTGAACTGGTAAAGCAAGTTTGGGAAATTTTGATTGGGGCCCTAAACTCATTATTGTGTCTAACATGGTTTGTTAATTTAACCCCTCAAATTATTTTGAGTCTATAATATTGCCACCAAAAAAAAAAATTATTTGAATTTATTCATTACATATAAGTGTCAATCTCACATTAAAAAAAAAAGATGATTAAATATAAACACATAAATGACCCTGAATCAATATAGATTAAAATTTTTTGGGTTTAAGGTGATATCTAACAGAAATGCAGGGAAAATTACATAATGCTTGGATATCAGAACATTAATGGATCTCCTTGGAAATAATGAAGAAATTTAATTGTATTTTCTTTACTCTTTTTGGGACCATGATAAAGTCCACCTTGGTATGAGTGAGATGCGTATTACCACAATGAATATTAATGATGAAAGCTGAAAGCTGAGTAAAACCAAGCTTCCTTATCTGAAGAGTTTTAATGCTATTAGATGGAAAAAAGGCCCATGCCACCCTAACATTCCAGATGAACCAAACTCAAAAGTACACATTACATGGTTTTTCTTGCTTCCCATGCTTTGTACTGTAGCCAAGCCAACAACTACGTTCCAGGATTTGACATCATTATTATGTCTTTTTAATAGACTTTTGGTTCATTTTGCTTTACCTTTTGTTTTTATCGATTGCAACACCATTCCTGAAGATTTTTTATGAACACTGATTCAATCAAACCCAACTCCATTAATTTGTATTAAGATTGAATAGAATCATAATGAAATTACCTTCTTACATCCTCTACTAGATTTGACAAACGGGTGAGTCTGGTTAGGTTCAGATTAGATCCACTTAAATGACTAGTTATATGGATTGGGTCATAAATGAATT